CTTTCCCGCCCTCAGGCCCTGAGTACCGCCCCTCCCCTGCCTGCCCTCCCTAGACACCGCCTCTTTCCCCGCCCTCACGCCCAGAGTACCGCCCCCACACCCTGGATACCGCCCTTCGCCCCGCCCTCACGTCGTGGATACCGCCTCTCGGCCCACCCCTCACGCCCACTCCTAGCTCCCGGGATGCAGCCAGGAGAGAAACGCTGCTAGGAGAGTTGGGCGGGGGTCTCCGATGGCTCCGCGGGTCCCAGTCGTTCAGACTCCGTCGAAGGAGTGGGCGCGGGCGGGCCCACGGCCGCAGTGAGGGACGCGCCTTCTCGCCTAGCCAGGACGAGCCGCGTACCGACCTTCCCAGGTTCCATCACTCCTTGTAGACCCGAGCACCGCGGTATCCTAGGCCCTAGGCAGGCGCGGGCGACCCGGGGGAGACCAGCCGRCTGGCGCCCGCTCTTTTCAGCCCAAACCAGGCCTGCTGAGCTGCAGCTCTCGGCGGGCGGGCGTCCCCGACTCCTAGCAACCGGCCAGCCGGGCCGCCCAGGGACCAGCGACCGCTGCCCAGCGTGCACCGCGGCCGCTCCCAGTGCGCCTGCGTGTCCCCGCCTCATCCCCTGCAGGTTGATTGGTCGCTAACCGGCCCGCGGCTTCCAGTAAGCCTTCGCCTTCTGGACTCCTAGAGTCCAGAGAGGGCGGTATCCAGGGCCTGAGCGGCGTTCTCTTCTGGACTGAAGCGCGGCGTCCCCTTGTCACTTGGTGAGGCCTTCTATGGAGACAGAGCGAGAGATCACTAAAGAACTTGACATATGAATAAGGCTTTGCCCCTACCAGCCGGTCAGGGGCGCGCACACCGTAATTCCAGCGAATGGGAAGGCTGAGGCAGAAGCAGCGTAGGATCGAGGCCAGCCTCAGCAAATTAGCGAGGCCCTACGCAATTTAGACCCTGATTCAAAATAGAAACTGTTGGGGATGAGGTTCAGTGGTACAGCGCCGCTGGGCTCAATGCCATGTCAATAGTATATCCTTAAGATGGGAATCAAGTGTTCGGGAAGGGGTTATTGAGAAAGAGACTTTCTACAGCGCAAAGGCGGGAGAAACGAGCAAATACTCGGCAAGCTTAAATAAGGCTTGGACACAGGCTGCCTCGCAGCAGGACTGTTGTGCCAGCGCCGCGGTTTTGCAGCTGGGGATTTTCTGTGCACGCTGTTTTCCAGTCCTAGTTAGGAACCAGTCTACGACCACGGTAGGCACAAAGTCGGCAGCTCCCGCCTCTCCGGGAGGCGATGTTAAGGCAAAGCACGCCTTCCGCACTTGGGCTGAGCCTGCCTTCCCCTTCCGCTGGTCCTTACACTGGAGAGGAAGGCAGCAAAAAAGACGTAGGTGAAGCTGCTTCTGCAGAGCCTGCCCCAGCAAAGCCGACCTGAGCGCTCACCAGCGTCACGCTGTTTCTTGAATATGAGAGTGAATGGAAATACAGCCGCCTGCTACAGAAATGACAACCCCAATCATACTGTTGTCAAACTACCTCCTAAGTATCTCTTGAATATGAATGTGTTCATTTCTCTCCACTCCAGTCCCTAGCAACCCCTCCTCCATTGCAGAAAAAGCTATCTAAACTGTAAATCTTGTGTCACTCCCTGCCTTTACCGCACTCTTTCATCACCAGAGTAACTTGGAGTTGTTAAAGTGCACCAATCTACAGACCTCTGCAAATGCTATTTCCTCTTTCTTACACAATCAGTTATATCTGCAGAATAAATCAATCTAGGCCTATAGAGAAACCTAAAACAATTATTTTTTGAATAGCTCATTTGCCAATTGATTACAACATAATATTTCTTCTATCTTTATTTATTCACTAAATGATGACTAAGCTACTTGACCTGGCAATCAAGAGAGTGCTAGTCATAGCTAAATACAACACTATCTGGACTGCTAGACATAGTTAAATATAACACTATCTGGACCTCTAGCAACTAATAATTGTTAAGACAGAAATATGCAAACAACTATTAAATGATGTGAAAGTGTAAGAGCTACTCATAAAATGCAGTGATCATCAAGTCCCAGATTCAGTCCCCAACACTGGAAAAAAAAATGCAGTGATTCTGCCTGGAAGAAGAGAATAACGTTAGGAAAGGCTTCATTTCAGTTAGATCTTGAAGCATAAATAATTAACCAGGAAGATTCACTGAGAAAGAACATTTTGTGGGGGAAGACAAATGTGCAAACGAGAATAGTTGGGAAGTGTTCAGTAATTGTTGTATCTATAACAGCACTGTCAAATGAAATAGAAGGTGAGTCCCATGTGCTTACATATTTTCTAGTAGCTACATTTTGTTGTTTTGCCAATGGTATTTTGGTTTTGTTTCTTTGTTTTGGTACAGGGGATTGAACCCAGGGACACTACATTCCCAGCCCTTTCTGAGGYTGGCCTCAAACTTGGAATCCTCCTGTCTCAGCTTCCTGAGATGCTGGGATTATAGGAGTGGKCCACCAGACGGGATTATAATCACCTCTTATCATACTGCCCATTAAGTTCCAACCACAGAATGGGGAGGAACTTAATGGGACCACAGCAGTCCCAGATACTTCAAGTGAAGCAGGTCCTCACCACACAGTCCTCCCAAAGAGGAATCCAATATTGACACAGTCCACAGACTCCCTTCAAGCTTCATCAGRAACATCCATTGCATGGACTGTGTGCCTTTGGTCTCTTATAATCTGGAACTGTTTTAAACAAAATAGGAGGGCTTTTATATTGGCTATTTGATGTTCCCTCAGGTCATGATTCCTGCTAGAAGTGTTCTAGAAATGTCAACACATATCAGGATTCAAAATTCCAACCTGTCTCCCACTGGTAATGTGTAGTTCCATCAGCTGAGTAGGTGATAACCCTGATGAGAGCAGGTTGTGCTCCTTGGCACTGGGGTAGTGTTGCTTCCAGACCCTCATCTGGCAGAATCAGGAAGTGCACCTGTGTTCATATGCACATACACCTACACTCACATGTGCACAAGTACAGGCATACGACTATTTTTATGTCTATCTGTACATATGCATCAAAAACATAAGTTTACTAATACCTCCAATTTCAATCCATTCCCACATAGTTCTTTGTAGTCTTCCTCCTTTCTAAGTTTTGGGGGTTTTCTTGTTGTTTTTGAGTTTTTTGGTTTTTGTTATGTCTCTTGTGGTACTACGGATTGAACCCAGGAGCTCTTTACCACTGAGCTACATTCCCAGCCATTTTCATTATATTTATTTATTTATTAGGTACTGGGGATTGAACCCAGTATCAAACTTCTGAGTCATATCCCTAACCCATCTTATTATTTTGAGAAAGGGCCTACTTAAGTTACTGAGGCTGGCTTTGAACTTGCATCCCTCCTGCCTCAGTCTCCCGAGCCACTGGGATTACAGGTGTGTGCCACCATGCCCAGCTGTTTTTTTTTTTTTATTCTTAAGTTTTAGGTGGATACAATATCTTTATTACATTTATGTGGTGCTGAGGATCGAACCAATTCCCCGTGCATGCTAGGTGAGCACTCTACCACTGAGCCAACCCCAGCCCTGCCCAGCTGTTTTTGCTTTGAGATAGATCTTGCTAAAATTGCTGAGGCTGATCTCAAACTTGCAATCCTACTGTCTCAGCCTCCTGAGTAGATGATATAAAAGGAGTGAGTCACCATGCCCAGCCATCCATGTTTGTAAGTATCTTCTCCAGTAGCAAGAAGTCTGGCTTTCATCATTCTATTTATTTGCAAGTATAACCAGGCTGACTGACCCTCTGCCCATAGCCTGATTATCTCCCACCTTGTTAACCACTGCCTCCTCTTTGCCAGAATAGAAGGTTTCTACATCTTTTTAGGAAGGCAGGATTAAAGGAATACTAATCAAGAGATGTTTACAAAGCACAGAAACTTGTTCAGAAAAGCTTAGGCAAAGGATGTTCACTATGTGAACATTTGGTCTATCACACAAGGTGCATCACAGAAACACAGGGACGGTTGTCTCTGTGGTGTGGGATATGGGGACTGAAAAGGGAGTAGTTGATTTCCAGCCCATCATAAAGAGCCATAGCCAAAAACCCTACACCAAAAACCCTACACAGGGTAACAGAAGAAAAGGATTACTCATTTACTTGGTCATAGCAGGAACTTTCAGAATGAAGACCCAAAGACCCAGTGTGAGCTGTTTTTTATGTTTCAATTCAACAAAGCATGGACAGCCATGTAGGAATGTGATTGGACCAAAGGGGTGTGAGGTAATGGTAAAGATCTAAGGGGGGAACCCAGCCTGTCCTGTCCAGATTCTTCTTGGCCTCTCTGTGTGCAGTTCCTTCCTCAAATATAGGGAAGAACCCCCTTCTGAAATTGGGGGTCTTCTGATCTCTTTATCAGACACAGTAGGTCAGAGAATTTCTTTCTGGCAAGTTCCAAAATAGAAAACCAGTGGAAGATAAACCTTTTCAGGCTTTATGGCTGTTTGGAGGGAAAAGATGTTCTAGTTCCTATGACTTGTCCTGGGAAAGAGAAATTCTAGTTTCTATGGCTTGTCTTGGGAGGGAGAAAGAGGAGTATGACACAGGAGGATAGGAAGTCTGATAGAGACAGTCCTAAGGCTAGTTAAAAGACTACTTATCATTTTCTGAGCGCCAACACAGTTTTTTTTTTTTTTAAATTGTGGTTAAATGCTCTACCCTCTATGATGAAACATTTTGAGGGAAGGAGATCTCAAAATTGTAAGGATCATATTTTAGAAGTAGCACTACTTTTTGAAACTAGAAAGGCTGAAATTTCACGGTTGTGCACTGGATCACGCATGACACACTTTAAGAGGCAGTGCTTTTCTCGGGGAACTATCCCAGAAGGATAGCAGGAACAGGAAGAGGTTACAGGAGATAGGATATACAGAGTAAACAGCTCAGTGGGGGTTGCAAAGGAGGCTGACTGGCTCCTGGTGCTGGCATTTTTCTTCAATCTGTTTTACCCATCGGGTCCCTAGGCCTAGCAGACAGTATGTGAGTGATTGTATTCCCTGTGGTTTATGTTCATACAACTTTACAGGATGCAAATATACGGCTTTAGAGCAAAGACCACAGAAAAAAGGCTCCTCTCCCTCCTGTGTTAATGAAGAAATCACTCACTTTGATGTATTAGTAATCTGGAGCCCGATATGGGAGTGAATGCTGGTAATCCTTAGCGACTCAGGAGGCTGAGGCCAAAAGATCACAAGTTGGGGGTCAGCCTGGGCAATTTAGCAAGACCCTGTCTCAAAATAAAAAATACAAGTGGTGGGGGTGCAACTCAGGGGTAGAGTGGCCTGGGTTCAATCCCCAGTACCCAAACCAAAACGATCAGGAATAAAAGGCGGCCTTAAGAGCATTAACCTGCAGCACAGGAAAAGGGGCTGAGACTCATCCTTTTACCGATGTGCCATTTACATGCCATAATCTGGCACCGTGAAGAGCGAAGAAAGGAAACTCGCTTTCCTCCGGCTCCAGGCTCGCTGCCCTGGCCAGGTCGGGCCGAGCCGGCGCTTGGCGGCGGGTTCCACCGCCCCCGCCGAGATGCCCAACCTCACGCGCGCAGCGGTGCCCCTGCCCCCCGCGCCTGCCCGGCTCCCTTCCGCTGCCCACGACTGAGGCGTTCCTGGGGAACGTCCTCCACCGACTGCAGCACCACTGCCAGCTGCTCTCCTGGACCGCGAACGGCCGACGGGGCGCTGCGGGGCCGCCCCGCCCGCCCGGAGCCAGGACCCCGGCGCCCTGCGCGGGCCCCACCCCACCCACGCCCCGCCTCGGCCGCACCCCTCCGCGGAGCCCGCCCCGCCCGGCGCGATGACGTCAGCGCCGCCCGTCCTCCGGCGGTTCGGCCGATCCCCGAGGGGCGCTGGCGCGGGGGCGGGACCGCTTCGGCGCGATGACGTCAGCGCCGCCCGTCCTCCGGCGGTTCGGCCGATCCTTCCGAGGGGGCGGGGCGGGGCCGGCCTGGCGAGATGACGCCACGCACCGCCCAGCCTCGGGCGGCTCCGCCCGACCCCTCGGAGGGGCGCTGGCGCGGGGGCGGGACCGGACCGGCGTGGTGACGTCGAGCGTCAGACCCCTTCCCCGGCGGGGCGGGCGGTCCCCTCAGAGAGTCGCTGGCTCGCGGGCTCGAGTGGCGCGGCTTCCGCGGGAGCGCCGCGCCCTCCTCGTCCCAGAGGACAGCGCAGCGCGGCTGGCCATGAGCGGCGCCGGGGAGCAGGCCCCGGAGGCCGGCGCCCGCCAGTCCGGGGACCGCCCGGCGCCGGAGCCCCCCGGCGGCGCGCTGAGCGTGGACGTGCCTGGGCTGCTGGCGCAGCTGGCGCGCAGCTTCGCGCTSCTGCTGCCGGTGTACGCGCTCGGCTACCTGGGGCTGAGCTTCAGCTGGGTGCTGCTGGCGCTCGGGCTGCTCGCCTGGTGCCGCCGGAGCCGCGGCCTCAAGGCCAGCCGCCTGTGCCGCGCGCTGGCGCTGCTGGAGGACGAGGAGCGCGTCGTGCGCCTGGGGGTGCGCGCCTGCGACCTGCCGGCCTGGGTGAGTGCCGACCGCCCGGGTCCCGCAGAGCCGGGTCCCGCCGAGCCGGGTCCGCAGCCCCGGCGCACCTGTGCGAGCCAGGGGCAGGTTCCACCTGGCCGAGTCCGCGCCCGGGTCCGATGGCCTGGCCTCGCCGCCACCGCGTCCCCGGCCGCGGGCTGCGCAGGTGGCAGGCGCGGCGCGTGGGCCCGCAGGCCGCGCGTTCCTCGCGCGCGGAGTTTCCTTTCCTGGGATTTGAAAAATGTGACAGCCAGTGGGAAGAGAACTTAATGTTTTCTTCTATCCATAAGACGGTGGTTTTGGGTAGTTTCTAAAACAGTTGAAGAGCAGTAAGTGTCCCCCGAAAGGTTCTGATGTCAGAAAGATTGAAACGCTTGCTTTTTTTCTTTCTGCAAGTACCCTGTTGTGAAACGGAGCACTTTTGTGTAGGATCATCCTGAATCCAGGGGGAATGAATGAGTGGCAGGAAATTTTGGAAGAATTAAATAATGAGATTGACAGTTATTTACCTCAAGCAGTTTTCTACATAATATGGAGTATTGCATTTAATCGAGTTGGCATCCTCTTTCTCTCCTCCTCTCTTTCTTAGCCATGAGTTGGCATAGTGAGACAGTAGCCAGCAGTGAGTTTCAGAAGGGTCATTTTCTCTTGGTGGAGGAAGGGCTTGGAGGGGGCTTTGTTTTCCAGCTAGTTGACACTTGCGATGGTAAGGCCTGCAACTTCAGACACGAATGACCGACAGACAAAAACCAGAAGGCAGGAGTGTCCAAGATCAAGAGGGACACCACGGATAACATTTCATGATGACAGATAGCAATTGGAATAAAGGACTGGGGATATAGCTCAGTTGGCAGACTGCTTGCCTCCATGCACAAGGCCCTAGGTTCAAACCCCAGCACCTCACAGAAAAAAAAAAAAAAAAAAAAAAGATAGCAATTAGAATAAGAACAGAGATTTTGGGAACTTAAAATCTAGACAGTACATTGTAGATTTATGAGATATGTATTTTGGAAAAATCAAAATAACTACTGTGGTACAGGTTTTAGCTAGTAGCAGGAAAACATTAGAGACCTGTAGAAAACAGGAAGTTAGAGTAACCAACCTGAGAAAAACCAAGAAAGGGTACACTTCAGAAATGCAAAAGGACTTTAAAGTGACATCTTGTGTCTTGTGTCATTGGCTCCCCCCCACCCTTCTGGTGGTACTCAAGATCAAAAAACCCAGGGCCTGAAGCCTGCTAAGCAGCTGGCTCGCAGATTTTCCAGTTTTCACTGCTGCTGCCAGTGTACCGCTGGCAGAGCCACATCCACTGAAGCCAGCACTTTGTATCTGTCGAATCTAAGTTACATCCTGTTAGAAAAGTAGTTAAAAACAAAGTAGTAGATAAGTTACCAAATCATCATCATAAATAATGCTGAAATTAACAGGAAAAGGATGGTGATAACATTCAGAAATGCCTGGTTATTGAGCAAGCGATTAATTGACTAATATATCATTTWAAAAAAAAAAGCTTTGTGAAACAGGCTGTTTTCACTTAGTAAATTAAGTAAATTGCTACCACATTGAAAAAAACTAATTTTTGTGAAATGAAAAACATGATTACCTAAAGATTCTTTTCTTGGGTTTTTCATCTGTGTGACTTAAACTGATGAACCATAATGTTCACCTCAAAGAATTTATATTTTCTCCAGAATTTTTCACTTGTTTATTCCAAATTTGTATTTGAGTTCCTATTACACATGTACATATTTACACTTGCCTTGATTGCTTTTTTTTTGTAGTTGTATATTGACAATATACAAATCAAAATAAAAGAATGCTTTATTTGTGTTTGTTTTTATTTTTATACAGTGCTAAGGATCGAACCCAGTGCCTCACACACATGCTAGGCAAAACTCTGTCACTGAACTACAGCCCCCGCCCCCACTAGATTGCTTTTAAGGATTCTCATGAAACTTGACAGTGATCATATCCAGGGCTTTTGAGAGGTTTTTGGATGGAGATATCAGGGGGTTGCATGACCTGGAAGCATGCCTGAAGTTCTGCCACAGGGATCAAGGAGCAATTCAATGATGGAAGCCTAAGAAAAGTTATGACTTTGATTTTTACTCTGGCTTCTTAGGCTTTCTGAACTTTGGACTGGTATTTTGCATTGAATCAGATTTATTTGTATACCCCAAAGATGGAATGTGTTTTCTAGGGTCATTGATGACTGATTCATAGTGAAGTGGAAGCGTGGAAAACATGAACTAATATGGAACTGACTTCCTATTTTCATCCTTGGGTACATCACTGACAGTCTTCTTTTTATTTAGCAAAGTAAAAATTTTCGCTGGATATTGCAATGACATCCTTAAAGAATATTAATACTTTTTAAAAATATATAACTGTTCCTGAGTTGAGACTATTAGGGCATGAAAAATGGCTCTTACTTAATGTGATRTTGCTGTAAAGATTTGGTCCTACAGCTTTTATATAGACAGTTATTATTCATTTTTGTATTATTTTTCCAAAAGTAGGGAAAAGGCCTGGCAGGCTTGATGGATTGAAAATGGAGCTTTTTGTGTCTACCCTGTGTAATGGAGCCCCAGAAAATTAGACTCTGGGCAAAGAATATTCTTGAGTTTTTATAGAGATAAATAAAAATAAGGACAATTTTCCATTGCTATTTCTTAAAAATATTTTTAGTTATAAATGGACTCAGTACCTTTATGTTTTTATCTTTTATGTGGTGCTGAGGATCGAACCCAGTGCCTTACATGTGCTAGGCAAACACACTGCCACTGAGCCCCAGCCCCAGCCGTTTTTATTTATTTATTAGAACTTGGTAGGATAGGTGTGACTTTCTTGCACTTCATGTAAATAAATGAATAAAATAAAGATCCATCAACATCTTAATGGTGATATAGCTGCAAGTATATGGAAGCCCAAATCTGTCACATGCAGTATTACTTAACTGTTCCAACAACTGCTCTTTTATTACTTGAATACTTGGATTATAGAATTAAAGCAGAGTTAGCTTCCTTGGATATGTTCTTCTGTGCTGTTATGTACAAACTTTCTTTGGGGACAGCTTTTTTTCCCATTGTTCTTCTGGGAAGTTCTGGAAAATGTAACTCTGGTCAAAATTTAATATGTATAGTCTAAGAACAAAATGAAAAAGAATGCGCTGTGGTCCCATGTAAGGAAAGGGCAGACGTTTGCTTTTTTGTCAGTTCTAATCATTTACTTAATACTTCCATAATTTTTTATGAAGACTTATAACAAAATAATTGGCATAGCTTATTGAGGAATCAGAACTTGTTTGTTTTTTTTTTTTTTTTAATGGAGCCCTACTTTTGCCCTTACATCCCAGAGGAACTGTGAATAGGGTGTAGATGCTGCTGAGTTTCTTGTTCACACCCATTTTGTGGCCTTGATGCAAGGAGGAAAGGACCTTGACAGTTTCATTGTTTTGTGTTATGTACCTATATGTTTGAGTTAGAACATATTAAAGCAGTAAATACCTGGTTTTTGTTTAAATTTAAAATATATTTAGGTCTAGGGTTGTGGCTCAGTAGTAGAGTGCTTGCCAGCTTGTTTGAGACACTGGGTTCGATTCTCAGCACTTCATGTAAATAAATGAATAAAATAAAGGTCCATCAACATCTTAAAAATTTTTTTTTAAATTTAATTTAAGATATATGTGTCCACTGGCCTGTATGCTCTGATTATGCTGTGGTTTTAGTAATATTTCTAGTTCAGATTAATATTATTCTCATTATAAATTTGAAGATGGGAAAACAGATCAAATATRATTTATATAAACTTGCATTAAGATATACATACAGTTATATAATTTATAAGTCCTATGAAGAAAGAGTTATGGAAAATGGCCTCGTAATTTAGTGTTATCATTTGGCCTAATGAATCTGTGGCATTTTCTGTGAATTTTCATGATTTCTGCATTGGTCACAGCATTTATTCTTGAAATAGATATTGTGAATATACTAAAAACCATTGAGTTGTATAGTTAAAATGAGTGACTTGAATAATATGTAAATTATATCTCGATAGCACTGTTAAGAAATAGAGACATTGAATTTCTTTTAAAACTAAGAGTGGGGCTGGGAATGTAATTAAGGRGTAGAGTGCTTGCCTAGTGTGCCATAAGGCTCTGAGTTTGATCCCCAGCCCTGCCAAAATAAGTGAGGGAAAGAGTGAAAAGGCGATCGGTGCGAAGTGGTTTTTACTTATACAATTTTAGCTTAAGTTTAAAGTTAGGGATATTTACATTTTAGACAATGTTGGCTTTGGGGGATTGACTTATTTCTCTTGGTATGATAGTCTCTATAATTTCATTCTTCCTTATGGCTGAGTAATATTCCATGTGTATATGTACTACATTTTCTTTATCCCTTCATCTATTAAAGGGCACCTAGGTTGATTCTATAGCTTAGCTATTCAGAGTACTGTTTTCACGAAGCATAAGAGGTTATCCTGTTTACTCCATACTCTTTTCAGGGTAGATRTGGTAAACTCAGAAGGCCTGTGGTGATTGCCCCAGAGTGTCATGGGGCTCAAAGAAAGGATGGGGAGGGTTTAATGGTAAGTGGTGCATAAATATATGTGTATGGAATTCATAGGGAACAGCAAAATAATCATGCCATGTTCCATGGGTCAGAAGTTCCAGAGCCCAGTAAAGCGGCAGTGTGCAGGAGGGCAGTTCAAAGGTGGGTTTCTGGGTCTTCTCAGAAGGGAACTCTGGAAGTAGTAACTCCTTCACAGTAGACGGTGGAACTGAGCTGCAGCTGGCCTAGCAATACTCCCACTGGACCCCACTCAGGCTCTCTGGGAGAAGGAGGAAAGCGCTCCCACTGGATCCCACCTAGGCTCTTAGAAATAGGGTAGAGGTGCTCCCGCTGTACCCCACCCAGGCTCTTAGGAAGAGGAGAGAAGTGCTCCCGCTGAATCCAGGCTATTAGGTATCAGACGTGGGCTCCCAGGGCAGTTCTCCCAGTTAGCAGAGACTAGTACCTAAGTRTAACCACTCCCAAGTTGCTTAGACACAGTGTTTGGACATGGCAGGAGAGGGAAAAAGTAATGTATTTAAATCTAAGCATTTGTCAGATCAGAAAAGGAGAACTACTGGTAGTGCAATGTGGTTCTCCTCTTGCTTTAGCCACCATAGGAGAGGATTTCTGCAGGATGTGTCCTTCCTGTGCGTCTTGGTCCTGAAAGTACCTTGCCCTCCTCCTCCAGTAGATAGCCCTCAGTGAACTCTCAGTGATCTTATTGTGCCTTCAACACTGAGTCACCTGGTGTTCTTTAGAGCTGGGTGGGGCATAGTTCTTACGGAAACAGTTACTGTGCCCATGATCATCTACTGCATGGATGGCATTTCCATAAACTTGTTTTATTTATAGATGTTTTCTCATGTCTTTTCCCATCATCGATATTTCTTCATTTACTTTTCTTAGCTATTTTAAAAGTCCTACAACTTTTTAAAGCAAACTATTTATTTCGGTGAATTTTTACTTGAATAGATCACATTCTAAGGAACTAACCTTATTTATGTGTATGGATTGAAAGTGAGTGTCTGTGGGTTCAGTCATTCACTGGGCCAGCATTCTCTGAGAACTTAAAGACGAGTGTCTGCAGATGCACTCATTCGCTAAGGCAGTCTTCTGTGATCCTGTGCTGTGCCCCAGGCATGGTGCTCAGCGCCTGACACAAGTATGAGGAAGACAAGGCGGTAAATTTTAGAAAGTTAATTAGGTGGCAACAAACAAATCTGTATATAACCCCAATTTTATTTTATTTATTGTATTTTATTTTTTTGTGGTGCTGGTGATTCCAGAGCCTTGTACCTGCAAGGCAAGCACTTTACCAACTGAGCTATATCCCCAGCCCTAGCCCCAATTTTAAAGTCAATATTGTGCAGTGGTAATTTGGGTCCTTTTTTTAAAATTATTTTTACTTTTATTAACAAAATTATACATATCCTTGTACTTTTTTAAAAATGATTTTTTTATATTTGTCTTTTTTTTTTTTTTTTTTNTTTTTTTTTTTTTTTTTTAGTTGTAGTTGGACACAATACCTTTATTCCATTCATTTATTTTTATGTGGTGCTGAGGATCAAACCCAGGGCCCTGCGCGTGCTAGGCGAGCACTCTACCGCTGAGCCTCAACCCCAGCCCGTATTCTTGTATATTTTTAAAAGTATGTATACTTTGCAAATGACTAAATTGATTAACATGCATTTCCTTACATACTTATTTTTTGAGAGCGCTTTTAAGATCACTTAGCCATTATCAAGAATATATAACATTGTTATCAATCATAGTTTTTATGTTGCACAGTAGAACTCTTGAGCAGTACTCCTACTAACTGAAATTTTGTATCCTTTGATATTATCTCTGTTCTACTCCCTGCTTTTTCCTTTTCCTTTTTTTTTTTTTTTAATACCAGGGATTGAACCCAGGGGTGCTTAACCTCAAAGCCACATCCCTAGCCCATTTTTATTTTTTATTTTGAGACTGTCTCACCAAGTTGCTTAGGGCCTTGCTGAATTGCTGAACCTGGCTTTGAACTTGCCTCCTACCTCAGGCTCCTGAGCTGCTGGGATTACAGGTGTACATCATTGCCCCCAGCTTTTTTTTTTTAAGTAATACATAAGTCATTTTTCTTTAATCTAGGGAAAGTATGTAAAAAATACCCATACCACACTTACTCATGATGGTTGTTGGTAAAAAATTATAAATGAATGGAGATATTGGGAATTTTTCAGTTTGTACTGATTGATTCTACTGGAAATCATTTGTTTAGTAAAATCTGGTTTARAACATTAATATTTTCTGGACTCATACCTAAATATGGTGGAAAAATCATAAGGAACCTTTATTAGGTCTCTCAGTTGGTGAAGTAGTTTGTTCATTTTTTAAAGAATGTGCTATTTGGGACACCTTTAAATTTCTTAAACATTTTCTTTATTGGTGCATTTTAATTATACACAATGGTGGAATTTTATTATTAAGTATTCATGCACGTGATATAACAAACAACTTGGCCAATTATCCTTCCCCAGTATTTCCCCTTTCCCTCTCCTTTTCCCTCCCCAGGTCATTTGCACTATTCTACTGATATTCCTTTGAATTTTCATGAGATTCCCCCACACCTTTCTTTGCCTTTTTCCTCTCTAGCTTCCATTCCACATAGGAGACAAAACACTTGACCTTCTGAGTTTGGCTTATTTCGCTTAACATAATGTTTTCAAGGTCTATCCATTTTCCTGCAGATGACATAATTTCATTTTTCTTTATGGCTCAGGAAAACTCCATTGTGTGTGTATACACCACCTTTTCTTTGTCCATTCATCCTTTGACAGACTCTCAAGCTGGTTCCATGGTTTGGCTTTTGTGAATCATGCTGCTGTAAGCATGGGTATGCATGTATTGTTATAATGTGCTGAAAAATATGGAATGCTTCACAAATTTGCATGTCATCCTTGCACAAGGGCCACACACATCCCTGTATCATTCCAATTTTAGTGTATGTGCTGCAAAAGCAAGCACTTAGGGCATTTTGTGCATTTACTAAGGTAATAGCTCAGCTCTTTAAATCAGTCTATTTTAAAACAAATGGTTTCTTGAGAATTAAAATTTGTTTGGTGATCTAATTGTGCATATGGGTCATCGTCTTTTCTTTTTCTTCTTTTGTTTGTGCGGTGCTGGGGATCAAACCCAGGGTGTTGCTGAGCTACATTCTTAGCCCCTCAGGTCTGATTCTGTGCCATGCCACCTTTACTTATTTTTCTGATTGGCAGTTTATGGTCATTTCTACTGGATCTGGGGTTCAGTGAGGTATCTTTTTAGCGGATCTCAGTAGAGTGATCTGGTGAAAGTAGCAGTGCAGCTTCTCTGTCTTCTGTGTCCTGCCCAGCACCTGGTGACTACACAAGAGCTTTAGTGAGGACCCCAGTGGCCAGAGTAAAAACTAACACGGTGGTGTTCAGGAGGCTTCCTTTTTAATTGTAAAGTTGTCATGGAAATTGAACTTGAAGGGTTTTTTTTTTTTTTAATTTGCTTAATCATATAGTGAGGATCCTTTACTTTTAATGAATGCACTGTGATATATGTATTACGTTATGTTGTGTCTAGAAAGGTTTTAAAAACATGATTTTCTGATGTGAGAAGAATGCCTGGAATCCAACTACTAGTAACAAGTTGTTAGATTTCCTTAAWCTTTGAAATGTTTGTACAGTGTATGTATATGTATGTTAGTGTCTTCCTTTCTTCATGGAACATTATCTCATTATTCAGAAATGACTGTGATTATTGCAATTATTTATTTTATGGAAATATCATCCTTCATTTAAATGACATCTGATGGACACAATTGAAAAAAAGATTAGATGACTGGGCACAGTGGCGCACGCCTGTAATCCCAGTGGCTAAGGAGGCTGAGGCAGGAGTATCATAAGTTCAAAGCCAGCCTCAGCAACTTAACTAGACCCTGTCTCTAAATAAAACATAAAAAGGACTGGGGGTGTGGCTCAGTGGTTAAGCGCACCTGGGTGTTCAATCCCTGGTACCAAGAAGAAAAAGATTGTGAGATACATGGTGAGAAGTGATAAAAATAGCATATGAGATATTATTTAATTTGATGTTTTTAAGCTACAGATTCATATTGAGCTATTTGGTAGCTCTGTATCTAGAGGCTACATGAACTATTTTGAATCATTAGAGTAGAATGATAATTTTTAAGAAAAGTCTTAATTGTAGAAGACAGYGTTTGTTTTTGAATGGTAAGATGTTAAAAGTCTTCATAAGTTTATCCACATCTCTTCTTGTGGAAATGACCTTTAGGGGAAAGGCATTCCTACTCCAGTGAGGTTGGGTTGCTTTTCCTCTTCTGTGTGGGATATTAAAATCTGTTAACAGGAATGTTCTTGATTGAAGTAGTGGTTTTAGCACAATAAAGTGATGGCTGCTTTGAGATGTCTGAGACTTGCTGGATGGTCTTGTCCTTCTGTGAATGCAGCTGCCCCTGTGGCCAACATCAGTGTCTTTTGGCTGTGTTTCTAATTGTGAAAGCACACTATAGAGGCCACACAATTCAGGCAGACCCTCTGAGGGCGCTCCMCCAACCTAACTGTGCCCTTGGCTGGGTCAGGCACCTGTTGACCTGCCTTCCTCATCAGGAAGGTGGTGTCTGCTTGTAAGGCTGGAATGGGAAGAGGGAGGTGAAACCCTGGATGCCGGTGAATAGACAGGCGTTGCCCTGGGCAGCCACCTGAGGCTGCTGTGCCTGATGTCCCTGAGCCCTCTCAGTGCTGGGCCTGAGTCACTTTTCCGGCCACAGTGTTTTCTTGGCCCCCTTCCTGCCCTGCTGGATTGGAGTGGAGCAGTTGAACCTTGGAATTTTTCTGTTTCTGTTTCACTGTTGTTTTGTGTTGTTGCTAAGAATTTATCTACCAAAAGGCTTTGTTATTTTAACACTTAAAAGCATGCCTTACAATTTCACTTTCTTTTCTCCTTTTGCCTGCATATCCCTAAAATATTTCCAAGGACCCTGCATCCTTGCTTTGGGCCAGTTTTTCTGTCTTCTGCTTCCTTCCAACAAGTACTGCCCAGGACATGGTAATCCCTCCCTCCCCACATCCAGCTTCCACCCTGAAGCAGTGGATAAGAGTTGAAACTATATGTGAATGCTTTGTATCCTACAGTTTAGTCTGGTTTTCTTTTCCATCCTTGTGTAAGTATTGGTCAGTGACTAACATAGGATTTGAAAACGCACATCCTATTTCTGGGTCAGGTGCAATATAGTTTAATTTTAGCTTGTGTTAAATATGGAGTTGCTTCCTTCTGTTTACATCTGAGGAATTGATGTGATTTAGGTTTCCCAGAGTAACATAGATCTGTGGGAAGTAAATCATTGGTGTGAGAAAAGAACACKCCCAGCCCAGCCGGCTTCATGCTGTGAGTCTTAGGCTGGAGAGCACCTTGCACTCTGGATTGGAATTATGCAGCTCCCATTGGAACACCAACTATCAAACTGCTAAAATTATTAATCTGAGTGATACTCTCACTTCTCTTATAAAACTTTGTTTATATATTTATTAAAGCTTTTAGTTTAATCTTTAATAATTATATCTACTATAGCATCTAGCATAGTGCTTTTGCATATGGTTTGTGCTCAATTAACCTAGGCAAGCTGTTGAAACAGTGAATTATTAATTACTCATTTTACTAGGCCTTTGTACACCCACTWTGTCAATTATAGCGTACCCATTAATGGACATATTAGAAGTGAATTGCCTATTCAGATTATTGATTTGTTTCAATTCTACTATAAATACTTAAATGCCTAGCATGTGATTATATAAAATATCTAAGTATCTAAGTACTAGGATTTTAAAACCAAAAAATTGATTTATAATCTGATACAAAAATGACAATACAATTTCTAGGTATGTTTTCCCACATATATGAAGATCTTAGAATATATCCAATAGGTAATATGAAGTGTTGCTTTTCTTGATAATTTCAGTTGAGATTTTATACTAGGAGAAATAAGGGAGTGAGTGGCTTTGTGTGTGAAGCAAAGTTTTAGAAAGGGGGTTTGGCAAGACAGAGGTGGAGTAATACCAGATGACCAGAGGAAGGAAGGGGTGCCCACCCTCCCTGGAACAGCGGTGGGAGGCCAGGAAGGAGGAGAGGAGTGGCAGAAAGTGCMGGAAGACTGCCTGTGCTGAAGCCAAGAAGGGCAGTTTGCAGGAGCAGGACTAGGGTGGGGCACATGACTGTTTTCAGATATTGAGTACCTGCCACTCACCTACTTTCTGCCTCTTGGGATGTTCCCTATTCCGGATATTTCATGTAATATGTGACTTTTGTTTCTGGCCTATTTCACTTAGCATATTTTTTAAGCTTATCACAAAAGCATGAATTAGTAATTAATTTATTTTGAAGACTGAATAATATCCCATTTTCTGGTATACCAGTTTGTCCATTCATTCATGGGTGGCTATTTGGGCTGCTTCCATCTTTTGGCTATTTGAATGGTGCTGCTATAAAAATCGGTGTCCACATTTTTGTTTGCACACCTCTTTCCAGTTCTCAGGTGTACACCAGGGTTTGCACTTTGAGGAACGAACGCCAAACTGTTCCCCACAACATCTGCACCGTTTTACTTTCTTACTAGCAACATATACAGGTGCTGGTTCCTCCACATCCCTGCCAACTTTTTTTTTTAATGTATCTATTCTAGTGAAGTGGCATCTCATGGTGGTTCTGATATCCATTTCCCTAATGACTAACACCACTTTCAGATGATTTTGTGCGTTTCTTCCCAATTCTGCATTCAGTGAGATTGTTCGACAGCTTGAAATTGGCTGTGGCAGGAGTGTTTGCATGGTGGAGAAGTCGGCAATCTCAGAGAAGTGAGTGCGAACAGTCGCCCTCCTGCTCTGAAGGATGTTCTGCAACTCTGAGAGGCAGAGTGGGAGCAGGCTGCCTCAGCCCAGTGAGCTTCTGCCACCTGTGTCTGTCTAGTTACCAGTCGGCACCGGCTCCTGAGTCCCCAGCCCATGGCRGAGTCTGATTGTGGTGTCTCAGTACAAGAAGTGTGCCTAAAGCTCTATTTTTGCTATTCAGAGGTAACTTAAGAGTTTGACAAATTCCTCTTGAGAAAGGTCTGTGAGCTCTGAATTAGGTTCCTCTTTTACTTCTGGGCCTCTGAAGTTACTTACTTGGTTCCATTGTTTTGGGAAATATCTGATTAAAATAAATGAACTACAGTAAAAAGGACTATTTATTTATTTATTTATTTATGGGGGGGTAGTTCTGCAGATGGATCATGGTAACAGTTGCACAACAGAGAATATGTTTAATACCACTCAGTTATACACTTCAAATGTCTAATGTTAAATGTATATTTTAGAATTTTTTAAGATTCTAAAATGAATTCTCACTTCATAAAATATAATAAGATAGTGACAATAAACCATCTATCATAATACTGCTGGAGGGGACACAAAATGGTATAGACACTCTGGAAAGTAGTTTTGTGGAACACACCCTCAGTATGTGGTTCAGCAGTCATACTCCTGGACATTTTTTTGGAGAAGTGAAATATACCATGTGCACAAAAACCTTTACATACGTAGGCGTTGTGTATGTGTAATAGTCAAAAACAAAACCATCAGGATGCCCTTCAGTAGGCAAATGGTCAAACAAAGTGTTACAACTACACCGCAAAATACCACTTGGCATTTAAAGGGGACAGGAACGGGGCAAACTGACAGACCTCAGAGGCTCTGGGTGGGCCAAGAAGTCAGCCACTTACACACTGCTCTTAAAATGCCAGCGTTGTAGAGAGGGAGCTCGAAGTGGTGGCTATGTGGGATGGTGGGGGCAGTAAGTGGCAGTGTGCTCTGGGGGGGCAGTGGGGCAGGTCTGTGTCTCGACTGTGATGGCCATGACACAGGGCCATGTGGTGGAGGGCAGGCGCCAATGTCCATCCTCTGGTTCTATGGTGTTAGTGTGATCGTGTAAGATAAGCCCTGGAGGAA